AATCGTGGGATTTACTTCCGTAATTAGAATTGTACCATAGATAGGATTCCTCTACTATAAAAGAGGGTTCTACTCATTTTGTAAACACCTTACACTCTGAGATATCAAAGAAATATAACGCCCTTCCTTTAGTTCATATTCTTGTTCATCAGCTTGTTAGATTTTAACTGTTCTTGCACCAATCAGCTCGAGGGTATTCAAGCTCGAGGGCTGAATTTCGTTCAAACACTGGTTTGCTTTATCTTGTTGTTAATTTCTATTACTAATCTTTACATTTATCAATTGGTATTAGGTGAAATCACGTGTCCTTAAAACCACAGTATAAATTTAGTTGTTATCCAATTTTAAGGGTAAACAATAATAAAAGTAATTTAATTATTAATTTATCCAGAAACAGAGTTGTGATTTCAAATAATGTCTGTAACGTCCATGTATTTCAAGAACCATTATATCATATGATAAATTTATTCATTTGGCGTGTTTACGTCGAATTAAATTAGTTTACATAATTAGTGATAAAATTGAGGTAAGAAGATACCATAAACAACTATAGTTAAGTGATAATTGTTTAGGTGAAGACACAACATGTAGTAAAAATATTTGATTGTTTAATTTTTTTTTCCCCAGTGAATTGTGACGTCAAAAAAGGTAGGAGGGTTTTGCGCAATAAACCAGAAGAAGATTATATTTTCATACCTCATACCCAATAAAGGTAAATATTTATTTATGGATAGTATTTACAAACCAATAAATACAAATATATAGTATTTGTTATTAATAGAATTATATTTATGGTGAATGTCTATGTTTAGAGAGATTCTAGGGTTCATTGCTTGGTGGCTAAGTCACCCTCTCCCTATAAATAGAGGGTTCTATTCTATTGTAACTCATCCCAAATCAATAAGAATTCTCTCCCTCTACTTTTCTCTGCAATATTCTTCCTCTTCTTTTATTGTTCATAACACGTTATCAGCACGTGATTCTAACCAGTTGAGTAAAGCTTTGGGATTGAGCATAATGATTGTCAATTATTCCATGAACTTCCTTCATGATTAAATTCTGGATTTAAGGTAAGTCTTTTACCGTATTTTTCTCTTTTATTCTATACTTTGATTTTAAATACAAGCAAAGACAACAAAGTTTGAATATAACTCTAATGGAGTTTTGTAAGAACTTATAACCACCTGAAGTGGTAAAATTTCTATGCCTCGCCATGATCAAATTCATGTATGATTGTGGGCAAAGAATTGGAAACCCGTCCCATTGAATTTGCTCCATTCTCATTCCCTTAAGAGAATGTGATAGCAGTATGTGATAAGTCTGAAAGAAGACAAAATTATTACTATGAATGTATCAATGGATATGGACGTGGCAATAGACGAAATTATAATCGTCATCATTTGTGGTAATGAGAACAATAAGGATTCTCAAAATAATCTTTCACTTTGTGAAAAATATTTGTCATCGATTTGACATGAGATTTTGTAAGGCACCTATAGATGATTATGGTCCATTCATGATGTGAATGTGACAACATCTGATTTATGAATACATATTCATTCTTCAAAGAATATGAACGTGCTAGTGGTAGTGAATATACCGCACTCACCTCTAAAAGGAGGTTTGAGATGATATAAGAATGGCATGAATGGTCATTGGTCACGTACCTATTGTGCGTCAAAATATTTTGGCATTGTGATTATTAAAAGACAACGGTAATGCAAGAAACAGATCTTACATATAATTTTGACCATAACCATAATGGTATAACTTTCTCTTTAAAGAGATATTCACCATATAGGTGTTGATGAATATGTGGTACTACAAAATTAATTGAGAACTCTGGAAGAACCAATTATACTATTTGGAGAAACACAATTAATTACCAATAAGGTATTGTGTTGTAGTAAGTCTCAAAGAAACTTATTCAGTTTCCAAAGTATATGCGAAAGCGATTGATTATTGAGACTATAAATAAAGGAAATATTTAATATCTTCTATTACTACAACTTGTAGCGGGATAATATGTATGTGAAAAGCTACCCGCTTTATTCTCCAGTTTGTACTACACAAATAAAAGAATACCACAATAAAGTGGATATTTATTGATATAAAAACCCATATCATAATAAACTTGGAGTTTATTGATAATTGCACACGTCATGGTGTAAATCTGAAGTTTATCAATATTGATAATTTATTCAGTTGGCATAATTGGTTTAGCCATGTTAATTCAAGTATGATGTGCAAAAATAAAAGAGAATTCACATGGGTAAATATTAAAGAACTAGAAAGTTCTTTACGAATTCTCTTACGTT